ATTAGTAGCAGTTAGGAAATGCTACAGGGAAAATATTCACTAAAAGGTCTCTCTAGGAACTGAGTCATTTCCTCCAAAGAAACACTGTTAAGGGCTTGAACTCATAGACAGGCAAAAGAGTCTGTCTCCAGAGACATTATTTCTGCAAGTCTGAATTCAGACATGTGTTTGAGTTTGTGCCCAATCCTTGCCAAAGATAGGAGTGCTCCTTCTCTTTCAAAGAATTTACATCGTGTTCAATGACAAGCACCACAACGTGAAAGATTTTGATTTTCTCTCCCCCTCTTCTCTCTCTACAGCCTAGAATTGTCTGCCCAGGTAGGAGGCAGTTGTATTGTTACAAATATTTGTAAATATTTATTGAATAATTGATTTCGGAAAAAAGTATCTTTCAAGATAAAAATTTTGCCTTTGCCATTTTTGTGTTTTCAAATACCATAAATTATATTTTTCCAAAATAATAATGATGGATCACATTAATGAGCCACCTACTATGTGCCAGGCACCATGCATAGCATTATCCATCTATTACCACAGATTCCTCATGCCATCCCTATCAGGTAGGTATGATGGTTTTCTTCATTTCTACAGTTGTGGAAACCGAGGCTTACAGAAGCTAAGTAACATGCTCAAATCACATGATTAGAAAGGACACAAACTTGGAACTCAAATTATTGTTATTCATTATCTGGTATGATAACTACAGTGCAGGGTTTTGTTCTAAATCTGCATAATGAAAACTCAGTCCTTTCTTGTACTAGCTGTAGATTTGTTTGCCTCAAATGTATCATTTATAGAAGTTCAAAATATGTTCTACAGTTTGTTTGTAGGAGCTATGACTAGCATTTTATGCAATACTTTGTAAACAGGATAAGGCAAGTTTATTTGTGAAAGAGAGCTATAATATATGAAAATAGGAGATGTCAGTAAGACCCATCTTGCCCTCAAATTGAGAATTTCATTTAAAATAACTGACAACGGCAAGCAAATCTGAAGTTATGACTGCCACTTCAGATATGACTCATTCAGGGATTTTAAGGATCTGAAAATAGCCCATAATCATAGCATTTTATTATATGTGTTGTTATATCTAGATATATTAAAGTTTATTCCATGAAAATGAGTAAGATTTACCTCATTCCTTTCCTTTAAAAAAGGATATTTTCCCCAAAGTTTTAACAATTACATTTCCATTTTTTATGCATATAAGCATAACTCAAAAAGGAAGGACACTTACTTGGCATGTTTTGGGAAGCTGTGTCTTGAACCACTAGATTTATTCTGTGATTGACAAAGAATTTAACAATGTACTGTACTTTTGTGTGCTCACAATGAACATAGGTTATTACAGTCCAATTAGCAATTACTCAGCATGTCTTAAACCTATCTTTCAAACAGCTGAAAAGTAAGATTTAATTTAGAAATGTTTTGGTATTCTTACCTTCCTTTCCACCATTTACCTTTTTCTTGGTATACTTTAATTTATCAGCATCTTCATTTTTACATAGGCTTTAATACATAGCTTAGTTCATAAAAATGATTTGCAGCTGCAAGCAGAGCTTGTAATTGCTACACAAGGCAACAGTAGTTTTGAATATTGATCATTTTGAGGATTTTCTATTTGTGATACTGAAGAATATTTACTCAATCAAATTAGACTGCACATAAGTTTGAATATTTTATTTGTGAAAACTATAAGAATGAACAGAAGTCAGCAAGTGGTAACTGACCATTTTCTAGTTGTTCATAATTGTGCTAGTACCTCAGAGAGCTTTAATAGAATAACTCAGATAAATATATGACAATCAATTTCACTCCTATGCATATGCCCAGGAGATATGAGTGCATGTACCACAAAAATAATTGTTCAAGAATGTTGATAGTTGATTCATTCATAATAGTCCCAAATTGGAAATAACCCAAAAGTCCATCAATTGGAGAATGAATAAATGAGTTGTGGCGTATTCATATAATGTAATATCAAACAGAAATTTTAAAAGAACAACTTTCTAATCCACACAATAATGTGGATTTACCTCAAAAACATTGAGTGAAAGAAATCAGACATAAGAGAAAACACACTGTATGATTCCATTTATATGAAGTATTTTCTATCTTGTTCTGGGAGGTGATTATACAGGGGTATGAACATGTAAAAATTCACTGAACTGAACATTTAGGTTTTATCTATTTTACTGTACATAAATTACATATCAACTTAAAAAATTACCATTCTGAACATTTTTTAGCCCAACATTTTGCTTTGAACTTATATTCATATTAATGCACTTAGGTGTATTTTATTCTTTTACCTGTATTTATTTGAGGAAAAGATTATTTATGCTGTGATAGAGTTTGGCCTGGCTGACAGGTGTGTTAAGGGAGCACCAATTATGTAACAAATTAACACTTGCCTTTCAGTGACTTAACACAAAGGAAGCTGATCACTTAATCTCAGTAATAGTTCAACCTGTGTGCTCTAGTTCCCCTCCACATGGTGCCAAAAGACTCTTCCAGCTTGTGGCTTACCAGTTCCCACCCAGGGCCTCAGAATCTTCTACCTCTAGTTAGAAAACAAGGTAAGAGAATGTGATTAAGGAGTTTTGTAGCCAGTGACATACATGTTTTCTTTAGGGCTCTTCTGATTGTCCCAGTGCACAGTAGTTCCTTAAGGGAAGGGCTAGAGAGACGTCTCATGACTGCCAGAACATGCTCACCTTTTCCAGCCTCATGTGCCTGTTCTATAACTCCTTGTGTCGCATACAGGTAGCATGATGAGCTGATTAAGAGTATATCCTCTATCACCCAGTACCCAGGCCTGAGCTTGAGCAGATTATTTGATCTTCCTAAGTTTTATCCTTCCTAAGTTTTCTCATCTGGAAAATGAAGTACATACTAATACTGTTTCACAGGGTCCTCTGACAAACTTTAAAAGATATATGAAATATTTAGGACGGTACCTGAAACATAATACATGTTTAATACATGTTAGCTATGTTATGTACTCCTTGCTATAACCAACCATGCCAGAATGTCTACTGCACCTCCAACATGCCCTAGGATTCTACCACAATAAAGGATCAAGTTCTTTCCCCATGGCCAGCTTCATGGGCATGTGGTCTGTGCAGTTGCATACAACCTATGCTGGAAAGGGCTTGGTGCTTGGGGCCTGGCACTTCGTTTAATGCTTTGTTGTCACTATATTGAAATTCCTAATAATTTTATCTTTGAACTTTTGTAAGTGAAGGTTGATGGGACAATGGAGCATGTGCATGAACAGAGGAAATACAGATAACACGCATAGCTGCTGCCATTCTTTACTTTTCAACTCACACATAGCATTCTTGATGCCCCAGGAGCACAGAATCCCTGTGGGCACACAATGTGTGGGAGTTCTGCAAAACTCAAATTGAGTATGAGGTAAGCATGTCACATAATGACTAAGTGAGGACAGTGACAGCCCCAAAATGGGGTTTGCCATGCTTTCCATTCCAACCAGAGCCTGATTTGAACGCAAAAAGAAGGCAACAACCAAGGAAACTTTGTCTTTTCTTATGTTATTTAATACTTCTCTGTAATCACTTAGTTTGAAAATGATGACATAGAAGGAAAGAGAAACATAGGGCAACCTATAGTCCCTTTTCCTTTCCGGTCTCCCTTATTCATCAGTAAGCCAAAGGCAGAGTGTAGATAAAAATGGGCATGTACCAAGATATGAAATAAAAAGTTAGTTTTGTGCTATGAAGGTACTTGAACTGGATAATTTTGACCCTATCATCTTCCCCAAGAAACTGTCTTTCCTGAAGGGTTGGAGTTCTTACCCAGCTGCTATGGACCAGAATCACTGGGGCCCTTATAGCAAAAATAAGTTCCAGGAACTAACAATGAACAGACAGAATCAGAATATCCAGGGCTAGGTCAGGTGGCTGCACAGCCAGCTTGAGAAGTAGCTAAATAAGTAAAACAATACCAGGGGTTCCAGTCCCAATACTCCCTGGCAAAATGTGGTCCATCTTTGATGAATTGGTTCAAGTACCACCACTTCCCATGAAATCTTCCCTGATTTTTCCCTCCCCTCATGCCCACATCTCTAACTCTCTGATCCCAAGTCCTTTACTATATATTAATTATCTTTAACATCTAGAACATTCTGACTTGAACTTTGCTTCTCTGAAAAGACTCCGGTAACACTGAGGGCATTGCGGGGCAGGGACTAGGTTTAGGCAAAGTGAGGCACTCATCCCTGGTGTGAAATTTAAGGGGATGCCAAAAAGAAAAAAAAGGTCTCAGTAAATCAGGAGAAATATTTTAATGCACTATTTTAAAAATCAAAATTAATGCAACAATTATTCATGATGAACAATACATCAAAATTTTAAATAAAGACAGGCTCAGATCCTGCACTTGTACCACTGGCCTCACTCACTTCTGCCCAATCCGAGCCCTGTGAGGTTCTTTTTTATTCATTTTCTTACCCCAGTAAGAAAATTATTTATTTATTGCTAAATAAATAAATACATGAATGAATTGCTTTCTTGAACTGAGTCATCAGCTTAAAGGTATAGATCCTGGTAATGAGGATGTCTATGGTGAAATATGGGAAAGGGTCCTGGAAACAGCCTCAGTGTGCCCTCTCAGGTCAGCTGGAACACATGACCACATCATCTCAAGTTTGAATAAATGTTCTTCCTTCAGTCAAGTCATCATGACATTCTCCTCCATTGTCCTACCTTGTATAAAACCAGAAAAATAAATGCCACGATCTCTTGGTAACCCTTCTTTACCATCATCATGCAGCCTGTAGGACAGCTCCTGGCGGTCCTGTTCAAAATGGAACACTAGTAGTTGAATGTTAATGATACAACTAGGTTGCAGTAAAACTGCCCTCCCCCATTGTTATATAACATTGTTACCACCATAGTCTCATGAAGTGTTTGAATAATGCCACACCCTTTATTTATTTCATGCTTTAATTGGCTCTTTATTTCCGAAATTTCTAGGCAAAATGAGATCAGAAAGACAAAGCCCTCGAACAAAGAGAAGCAACAGTTTTTGTTACATTTTGTCTTCTGTATGTCTCCTTCTTGAAGAATTTAGCTCCAAGTTATACTCGGGAAGAGAAAAAAATCAAAAGTTCCAGTAGGCCGCGAGGCCTATGATCCACCGTGTTGAAGGAAGATTTGCTTCACCTCATCCCGCGGTAATACTAAGTTGTTCACACGCTGTGAAGAAGACCGGAACACTAGGCTGTCAACTGTTGGGGCCTACCTGCGCCAGACTTCTTCCTCAGTGGCCAGCTTTTTCCCCCACAGTGAGCCACCAGGGGGCCGCCTGCTTGGAACAAGTGGTGTAGACGCCACAGCTTTTCTCCAAACCAACCAAAACATTCCGGGGCAGCTTTGGAGCAAAGCCCAGGAACTTCCCTGCAAAGGAGAACAGCTCTCCAACTACAGAAGCCTGCAAGTCCTATGGTGCAGCCTTATTAAGAGTAGAGAAGAAAGCACGGATTTCTCACCGAGGACCAAAGGGAAATGGCGTCTCTGGGGCCTGCAACTTTCTTAAAAGTGCATCAGCGAAACTCTGCTCATCCAGGGGGGTGGTTGATAATGCTGTTGGCAGGGGTCCGGGGCCTCTCCCCCCTTTCCCTGGCACGCTCAGAAGAAGCGAGAATAAAACATACATGTCATTGGCTGAAAATCTAGAGAACCCTCCAATAAATAACCTATACATTGTCAGGCCGCTGAGGATCCATATCGTCATAACTCTATAACACTGCGTGTTACACGAATAGATGTGAATATTAAATTATGATGTCGGAATTATTTTAATATTTTCTCTAAGAAATTAATGGTACTCTGTTGTCAAAGTAGTTTTGTTGCAACTATAGTTCCTTATTGACTATATTTTAGCTGTCTGAGGACTCGGTATTTCCCAAGTATCCTTCTAGCTCAGAAAGCAAGTCTTTTCCTGGTCGCCAGGACTTAAGGTTGGGGCATTTGAGAGACCTATATTTGCCCGGGAAAGATCTCTTGAAGAGTATACATTATCTTTGTCTTCTTGGTTTTATCTGCACATTTCCAGGGCAAAGACAAATTAATAGGGCAGCCCTTCTGGGACCTGCGGAGTGTCTGAGCCCTGTACGCACCTCTCCCATGATATGCATAATGGCGGTGGGGGCGGGGGTGTCCTCCTTAAGGGCAAGCCACGCATGTCCCAAACTTCCATTCTTGGGGTGGCGGTGGTGGTAAGAGAGCCGCCAGATGGCCGGACCAGCGGAGGCCCCAGGAGGAGTCAGATCGCCCTGTCCTCCCGACACGCGCCACAAGTGGTTTGGGAGCGGAGGGAGGAGCGCGGCGGCACGGGTCGCGCCGGTCGGGCCGGGCAAAGAAGGCCAGGGCGTGCTCCTGGAAGACTCGCCCTCCGGTCCCGGTGTCACTCGTTCCCCATTCTTTCCTCTTCTCCAACTAGAGTAATGACGCCCAAACCCGCACCTATGCGCGCAGGCAATCGGCTGGGTGGACGCGCAGCCACCAAACCCACAGCACGGTCACCACCCCTGGGAGGGCACGGCCGGGATTAGGACGAGGGGGAGCGCCCACACCTGGGGAGGCAGGTGCGGAGGCGGCCGGCCCGGGGACAGCGAGTGCGTAGGGCCCGGGGTCGGGGTCGGCAAGCCGGGCGCTGTGAGCGCGTCGGAGCGCCGGCCCGGAGCCTGGCAGGGGCAGTCAGTACCGGCTGGGCAGCCCGGGGCGGTGGCGGCGGCGGCGGCGGCGGCGGCGGGGTGTGCGGCCAGGAGGCCATTTCCTCGCTGCGCCCCTGGCGGAGCCGGGTTTGCCTGCTCTTGGCCGCCGCCGCCACAGCCGCGCGAGTCGGACAGCCGTGAGGGCTTCAGGGGAAACCAGGTCACCGGTTCGCAGACGCGGCGCGGAGCAGGCGCCCCGGGCCCGGAGTAAGACAGCGTCCGGGGAGCGGGCCGGGGCGGGCCGGGCACGCGGGGGACCCGGAGAGGCGGGGACTCTGGTGCCCCAGACACACTCGCTTCCTACGCCTATAAAAGTGGAGGGACCCGGGAGGTGCGGCGCGGCCCTGGCTGCGGCCGCCTCTCTTCGCCCAAGGAGTTGACATTTTGCAGGACTCGCGCGACGCCCAGTCGCCGGCGCTCCCCGGGACCCCGCCGCCGGGAGGAGGGGGCGGAGGAGGGTGGAGACTGCGGGGCTTGGCCAAGGAAGGCGCACATCCTCGGGCGGGCGGCCGTGACGCGGCGGGGATTAACTTTGCATGAATAATGTGAGTGCGCTTGGAAAAGAGACCTCCTGCTCCGCGGGCTCGGGGCAAGAGCCCGCAGGCTACCTTCCCCGGGCAGGGGCGCTCAACCCAACCGGCTCCAGGGCACTGGTAATTTGGCTAGAGGACCGCGCGGAGGCAGCGGGGTGAGGGGAGGAGGGGGCGACAGTTCCAACTGTCCACAGGGTGGGCGGGATGGTGACGGAGTGTCGCAAGAACCCGGAGGGGTGCGGGCGGCTAAGCCGAGCGCGCGCGGGCGGGCGGGCGGGCGTGGGTGGTGGGGGTGTCATCAGCCTGATTACCTGCCTCCGCGGGGCTTCTGCGCCCCGGATCTGGGAGGAGGTGCCCTCTCGTGTTCGGGCACCGCGCGGCGGCAGGCTGGGAGCTACGGCGTGGACAGTGGTGGAACAGGGTGGCCGGGCTCTGTTCCAATCGCAGCGGCTCTGTTCCTCAAACCCCAAGCCCAGCTGTTGACATGTTCCTTGTGAAATGGAGTTTGGCATCCTCAGCGCCGAACCCAGTGGAAGTTTCCATGATGAGGAAGTTGTGTGACATGGGGGTTCGGAAAAGGTTGGCAGACCGGGGGGGAGGGTTAAAGGGACTGTGGGTCTCCCATCCCCCCTTTTTCGCCTGCCCCGGAACTCCGGGGCTTGGAAAGGAGAATTATCCTGAATGTTGGCGTGCGCTGTGGCCGGTGCCTGGCGACTGGGCTTCTCTCCGCCTCCTGGGGACTCGGCGGGGATTTCGCTAGCCTCCTGGGTCGCGCTCCTTCGCTTTGCTTCTCTTGGCGCAGCATCTTCCTCTGGGTCGCCTCGAGTTGGTTGTGATACCAGCTGTGCCAGCTGTGTGACCTCCACCCCCTCAGAGAAGGACTTATTTGCGGGAATTTTCATTCTTAGTGGATTTTGCCCTTCTTAGCGGCAGTTGTCACTTTGGGGGAGGATTTCCCAATGACCATTGTGGGATTATTATTAGTGCTAATTCTTAAGCCTTCTTATTTATTTTAAGGAGGGGGAGGGAGGAAATGAGATGAGGTTTTTTTGTTTTGTTTTGTTTTTTTTAAGGTTAAATGTACAAGTTTCCCCAAATGGAAAATTTTAAAAGAAGGATCTAGAAGCATAACAATTCATAAAGTGAAGCAAAGAAAGGAAAGAGTTTGCCTGAACAGCCAAGTTCAGATTCTCCGTTCTCCTTTCTCCACATAAATTTAGAATTTTTGAAGATTCAAACACTGTGTAATCAGTAAATATACTTGAAATACGTTCTTCCTCAGCACGTTATTGGTCTTGGGTACTAGTGAGATTCAGTTTTAAAGACCTGTTTGGAAGTTCAAGAGATTAAGCATTCCTTGCACAGTGTATTAATATCAAGCACAGCAGTTTACATAATGATAAATGTATTAGGTAATGTAGACCTGTTGGGCAATCGTCACATTATTTGGCCTTAGTTTAGCATGCTTATTTAAATTGTAAGAATGTATAGCATGCACTGCACTGCAAAGAAATAAGAATTGCATTTTAGTATACGCGTTCATGATTCATTCTGAGTATTCAGTGACTGACCTGCTCCCCAATTCACTTCTGCTTAATTCTTTCTAATTCTGAAATCAGTCAGAGGCTAGGAAACAATGAAAAACGTGTTTCAGTCCAAAGTATTTTAAGCAGTTGATGTTTTTAGGATGTTTCATGCCAGGTGGCTAAGTGTTTTAATTGAGACAAGCAGAAATTCAGTACCAAGTGATTTGTTTGGAGTATTTTATACAAAGACATTGGCGAACGTTCATTTATTATTTGTGCATGTTAAAGAAATATAGAATCTATTTTTACCTAATCTCAGAGGTTTATTATATATTGGAAATGAGACCATCTGCTAGTAAATACAATTTGGGTTTATTTTATAGCTGGTGAATGTAAATAATACTGAGTATAGCTACAGAACTGTTTTCTTAAAGTGGAATAATTCCTGTTGGCATTGTAATGCAAAGGTATACTTTTATTGACATTGGAATATTGTTACATAAAGCAACTGACATTACGAAGAGGAGTGAATATTCCATGTCTCTCATTTCAGTTTCTTCATAGTAAATTCTGCCATAATTAGAGATGAATTAAGACAACTTCTTTTTAATCCATTATCTTTGGGAAAGGTGATTTCTTAAAATTGCCTTAAGAGCACAGAAAGTTGTGGATTCCCTTCCTTTCCTTATTATTATTATTATTTTTTTTGCTGTTGTTTAAAGTATGAGTTGTGCGGAGCCACAAACGGTATTGCATGTTTCTTTTTTTAGTAAGCCCATCTTTTTGATGGAAATCAGAGTAAAGGTGATTGGTTTCTTCAGTCGGTCTTCTCATTCTAGTGTAAGATTATGTGTCACCTTCTTAGAAAGCCCTTCCCTGACCATTTGAGCAAAGGCGGTCCCTCATTCCTTTTCAGACCCATCACACTGGTTTTTCTGTTTGTTTGTTTTGTTTTTCTTTTTCTTTCCTTGATTGCATTTGCAGTTTCAGTTGTTCATTTCAATTGATGCTTGCTGATCACCTGTCTCCTTGCCTAGAATACAGAATCCATGAGCTCAGAACTCTTGACTGCCTCACTCACTCTTATTTTCCAGCATCTAGAACAATACTTGGCACGCAGTAGGTGCTGGATAAATCTTTGGTGAATAAATTAATGATTGTGCCCAAATATTATGCTCTCAAAAACGCCTGACTACGCATCCTAAGTGGGTGCCAGTTGGGCATGCCAAGATCTATTTTGTGTGTGTGTGTATGTGTGTGTTGCACACATGCCATGCTTTTATGGTTCACTCTTTATTTTTTTCTCTCTCTCTTTCTTTTTGAAATAAAAGCTGGCCTTCCATTCTGTGTAGTGACAATGCAAAGAGTTATTTCTGTGAGTTCCTCCTAAGGACATTTGCCTTGAATACATGGAAATCCTCAGCAGCAGAATTTTTCTGACATGTTACCTTGATCCCCGGAAGACATTGACCTTCAACTCTCTGAATTTCGGCAGAATCTTTATGAGTTCCAGAAGCATTGCCAGTGCTAAGAGTGAAATTCCAGGGACTAGACTTCACTGGGTGATAGCAGTGTCCTCTCATTCAGCAGGTCCTGGCAGTGCCTCTGACAATGGCAGCCCTAAGTGGACCAACCAGTGCATGCTGGTACAATTTGGGCTGCAAAAATGGTGGTTGGTGAGGGGGCAAAATGCAATGGTCAGGATCCAACACAAGATAGAAATAAATAGGCCTTGGTGATAGATTTGAAAATAACCTGATAGTTATCGTATGTTATTAGTTAAGTCAGCCTCTTTTTGGCCCCTTTTGTCGCTTCTTAAAAGTATTCTGAACCAAATGATCGTGGGAAATACTGCGTTATCTGAGTTTTCAAGTGACCAGAGCATAATATCGAAGGAGTTATCTTCAAATTAGTTATTCACGGAAGCTCTTGCCAATTGAAAGCAAAAGGAAATTATAATTGAAGATTATGGTGATTTGTTTTTGTGTCTAAAGTATCAACGTTCATAAGTGTGTCTGAGTAAATGCATAGTAACAATTTCACAAAATAAGACTGTTAAGAATGGGAGGGGAAGAAAGATCATAATCTTGTAGAGGAGGGAAGATAATTAAACTACAATCCTAAGTGCTTACTGCTTTAGAGTATTTAATTTGGCTCTGAGCTTCTTAGTAGTAGCCAAGTTAACAGAGAAAAGGGGGTCTGGAGGTGGCATGCATTAAACTTGTAAGGATGACACATGTAGAGTGCTTGCCATGGTGCTTGCCAACTAGTATATACTCATATGAAATATCGAATTATATCATGGATAATATCTGAAATTCAATTCTACATAAAATCAAGTCAGATTCTTTATATGGTCCTGTCTTTTACCAACTCTGGAATGGAAAAAAAAATGCAGAAGACATAATGATGAAAAGTAACCCAGAACGTTTGTTGTTGGGGGCCTGATCTACTATGGCCTGTCAGTGGAGATTCTGGTGACGAATCCCAATGCAGAAATAAAGCTCAGGAAACCTAGAGGAATGAGTGGTTACCACACTCTGTAAGCTAATTTTCCCAAATATCCAGTGTCTCAGCCAACTTTTGATTAGAGCAATTTGAGAGGACAGGACAACGTGGTACTTGAAAATGACCCTATGGCCATAAACACCCCTGAACTTGTCGCCCCTGTTGCTTTGGGCTTTAGTCTATATGGCTCTTATCACCTGCAGGGCTGTTTGTTTTCTTTTCTGTTCCCACCTCTAAGTTGTGATGAGGCACGATGCATGGGTTTATTCATCTTTGACTCCCCATAGCCTAGCAACAGCTTGGTACGTGGGCACAGGTGAAACACTGTTGGAAAAATGAATGGAAGGGTAGAAAGGGCAGTGCTTCTGTTTCCCTTCTGGGTTAGTATTAAGTGTCATATTTGGACATGGATTTGTCCAGAGTGAACGTTTGCTGCCTGCATTGCATCATATGTCCAGATCACAGCTGTCTGTTTTGCTTGGAGGGCTTGTTCTAGTGTCAAAGCGGGTTGAGCAATGGATGGCAAGTTAACTCCTTGCTTTATTTAAAGTCATTTTGATTCTTTGATTTGATTCCTCATTCAGTCTACAAATATTTATGTATCTACTGTGTACCTGGCCCTGCTAGCCATTTTTCAGTTCAACATGCAGCCCAGTGACCTATGAGACAACATATTCATACAAAAGGATTCTGAAATTGTCTCCATTGTGATGAGATGGATATACCTATTGGAGTCTCTCATATGGCCCCTAAAAATGGTTATTTTGTATCTGAGGAGGAGATTGTGATTTCTATAGCCCATGTATATTAATGTAAATTTCAGTGAGATTCACTCAAGAATCTCTTGTATCCAAGTAGTAGGGAAGTTGAATATATTTAGACCGGTGAGTTTCTGATTTAAAATGTTCACTCTCCAATTTAAGTTCCCAAACTTGTTAGTCAATTTTGGCATTTAAACAAGTGGGGGGAGTATCCAAATCACTGAGTCACAAGTCATATATTTCCATATCTTCCTCTCAGGAACCTGGCCAACTAACAGCTAGAATAGTGATCTATGCCCAATGCTAATGTTGTTTGGTCCCTACTGTCCTAATTTCAAAGGGCTTTGAAGTCTTTATGTACTGGCAGCTCTTCTTGTGCAGCGCTATTTTTTATTGAGTTGAGAAACTGAGTTCTGCTGTGAACTTGAGGATCTTTTCCAAATAGCAAATCAGGGGAGTCTGGAATTAGGACCTAGGAACCTTGACTGTCCTGAGAACCGTATTGTAGCTTTTCCATCATGACAGTCAGTCCTAACAAAGTGATATACTCCCTAGAGGGTGTTTCTGATAGATGTAGATGTGCTTGATAATAGGGCTCATCTCCCTTGCCTCAGACACATTAAATTTGCACAGAAGGCAGATCTACCTGTAGCAACCCAGAATACCTGCATTTGAGGCTTTTGCAAGAAGATAATCTGTGATAATCTTGTACTGTCTGCTGGTCAGTGATTACCAGCAATTAAATGATATTGGTATAGTGGTTTAAATCTTTTTTTTTTTCTTATTTTTTTTTTGCGACAGAGTCTTGCTCTGTCTCCAGGCTGGAGTACAGTGGCGCAACCTAGGCTCACTGCAACCTCCACCTCCTAGGTTCAAGGGATTCTCGTGCCTTAGCCTCCTGAGTAGCCGGGATTACAGGCACATGCCACCACACCCAGCTAATTTTTGTAACTTTAGTAGGAACAGGGTTTCACCGTGTTGGCCAGGATAGTCTCAATCTCCTGACCTCGTGATCTGCCCACCTCAGCCTCCCAAAGTGCTGGGATTGCAGGCATGAGCCACCACTAAAATCATTCAGTTGATTTTATTGATTGACCAACATCCATCAATATGTTTAAAATTATTCTAAGATCGATATTTTTATTTAAAAAATCTTTTATGGCAAAATAATTTAAAGGAACTTAACGAAAACCCTTTGTGATATCATCTTACCAGTTTATGTGCTAAAAGCAAACAGTTATTTGCTATTTGTCAGACAGTGCCTGCTGTCTATTAAAGCTATTTTTGCAATTTCTACTCCTTCATGTAAGGCAGTGAAAGATCTTGAAGTATTTTTTCAGCAGTTGAGAAATATTGAATTGTATTGAATAGCTTATTTTATTCTAGTTATTTGAAAATTACTGAACAATGGACAATGTGCAAATCATTGACATCTGTTTCACATCTTCTGGGACAATCATGATTTAGAGATAAAAGAAAAAAAAACAGAAGACAAATTCATGGTCTAGCTTGTCACAATGAAGACGCTTGTGGTTTATATATCTCAGCTCACGTCTGTCTTGCTGGTCTGCATGTTTTATCCAATTTTTATTTTTCCTAATCCTATTTTAACAGATACTATCTATAGTTTATTCCTTATCATATGCACACATGCACAAACACCTAAATACATACGTGTGTCTGTGTTCTAAGAGTGGATTGCAGACGAGGCACATATAATCAGGAAAGGACTGGCCTGGACTGAGTTGCTCAGTCAACTTCCTACTTCCAAAAGAGGGTCTTCAGGGAGTCATGACTTCTCTTCTGTGATCAAGAATTTAGGCATTTATAAGAAAGTCATGAGTGACAAGTTTATCAACACAAAAGTGTGGACAAAGGAATGTAGACTGAAAACAGACACGTTTTCTTTATTTGGGAATATACTTACTTGACTCCACTGGAGGCTCAGGAATGTTTGTGATGAGGAAGGTTGAGAAGATAGTCATGGTGTTAGTAGCATAATATATGATCCTGACATTCAGGAACCTGTTGAGTATTTTAACTCTTGTGACATGTTGTTCGTTGGTTCTCAAGATGGTTCAGATATGCTTTTTCCCTTTACCATTTGTTTCTCTTGGGACTCTGTTTTTTCTGATTTCATCAATGTCTACACAAAGCAGGTGCTCAGAAAAGAATGATTGATGATAACAATCATAACGTTTCTTGGGCTTGGTCATCTTTTTTCACATTTCTGTCTTACAGGCATAAATGTCTTAACGACTGGCATGTCCATACGTGCAGAATCTGTCTCTGTGACAAGTGTGTGTCATGTTCTCACATACAGTGGAAAAGGCACTGCTTGTCTCTGGCTTCTGCTGTGATTCCCGTGCTCAGCTTCTCAATCACAGTGAGAAATACTACAGTCACCCTGATGTCCCAAGCCACAAACCCTGTCCTTGTTTTCAGTCCCTTCTACTTGCTTCTGAATATGTTGGCAGATCCTGGTCTTATATTACTTTTTACTTCTTTTACTACTGTATTTGTTTATTTTACTCTAGGCTCAATTATGTTTGGGAAATCTTGAGTTTGAAAAGTTGTAAAAGTTTCCAGAGCCTATTTTTATGCTAGCATGCATGATAAATGTCCAAGAAAGGGGAGAGCAGGTAGCAAAATTCATTTGATCACTATTTCCTTTGTGTGTGTGTGTGTGTGTGTGTGCGTGTATGTGTGTGTCTAAAACCTTTAATGGCAAAAGTTCAGCACAATAGGTTGTGAGAAACAGTTCACTATGTCACACTTTTTAAAAATCAGGCTCATATGTTTTAACCTTTTAATGCATTTCATAAAAAGTGATAAATGAGCAGTATCTAACACCACAGCGGAACATTTTTGCTTTTTCACACACACACACACACACACACACACACACACACACACACACACAAAAACCCCTAGCAACTTGTATACAACACTGGTTAAAACTGCCTATTGTTGAAGTGTTTTGCAAGAATGTGAAAGTCCTGCTAAATTTCTGTACCTTTGAAAACATTATAATCGTAATCTTTCCTTGACTTTCTTTCTGCTGTTTAAGTGTATTAATTTATATAAGCTGGAGAATGGTTTATTTCTGCTGTATTTCTGTTTACTTTTAAAATTTTACCTAGGCTTCACTGTCACTTCTGCTATACTTCCAACATCTGGAGATCTAGAATAAAGTATTTATATCTGAATTGTAGCTACAACAGGGAATAGAATAAGGTTGTTTAGTCTTGTGTTATTTTTCTTTTAAAAAAAAAAAAAAACAAGGAAACCTTACACAGAAAATATTTTTGGAAACAAGTTAAGTTATGACTATGTAGATGAAACCTATAAATTTGTCCTGTAATGTATCAGTTATAAGGGATTTGAAAAGCATCTCATCCTCCTTGAGGCCTTGTGGAAAAAAAATCCTAGGCCTCTGGCATATTAAACTATCTCACATTCTATGGGTTAATAAACATAAGGTATTGCATGCTCTAGAATGTGCTGCACATGCATTCATGTATTATTGATTAAGAATATGTGTTTCGATTTGTCTTTATTGAAGTCAACACAAAAATCAAGCCTTATAATAAGTAATTTTTTTCTTCTGGAGTCTGTCCACTGGTCACAAATGCATGGGACATCTGCCAGGTGCCAGACACAATGGGAGAGCATTTAAAAATCCTTGTTATATGGATGAGATGCTCAGAGTCTTCTGGGGCAATCTACAGGAGGAGATTTAGTGTAGACTAGTGTTCCTCAGCAGAGGTACTATTTACATTTTGAACCTGGTAATTCCTCTGCCCTCTTGGTATTTGGGGCCAGATAATCCTTTGCTGTGGAGGGCTGTCCTATGTAATACAGGATGTTGAGCAGCATTGCTGGCTTCTACCCACTAGATGCCAATAGCTCCCCCAACCCTCCAGTTGTGACCATCAAAAATGTCTCCAGATATTGTCAGACATCTACTGGGAGGCAAAACTGCCCCTGTTGAGAGCAACTGGTGTAGAGGTTCGGAACTGGGGCCGTGGAGTGGTAAATGTGGGGATTTGTATGCTGGTTTCACCTGGCTTCATTGCATGTGTTCAGTTTCCTCATCTATAATATGTGGAGATTAAATGAAATAATGTAGTGCTTGACTCACGGTCAAGTGTTTCTAAATATTAGCTATCTATAGTAGTGGTAGCATTAATACTTTAGTAGGCAATTAAAATATTCATAAGTCCAATGACATAGTTAAGTATAATGTACATTGTGGGAACCCATGGGGCGGGATGACTCTAGGCAGAAATAAATACGATATGTATATGAAGTGAAAGTAAAAGTATGAAGCATTTGGAAAATTGTAAGGAGCCCAGCCTGACTCACGTGCAAAGGACTATAAATGAGGCCATGGGAGCAGGCAGGAGCCAGATGGCGAGGACTTTCCTGGACACAGTAAGGAAGACTGACTTTGTCTTGGTAGCTTGAAGAGACGTAAGAGTGTTCAGCAGATCAGATTTTTATTTTAAAAGAGTTTTTTGGGATAGGTCTTGAGTGGGAGAGAGACTGGAGGTGATGAGCCCAGTTAGAGACTCTTAGAATAGTCCAGTGAGAGATGATGCCTGCTGGAGCCCAGGCAGTTATATATTGCTGTGATGTCTTTGGGAACAGATTTCACTTTCTCCGAGATGTGGCAAAATTTTTCTAATTTAATTCCAATAATGAATATTTTTAGCAAGCTAGCTCTACATTTGGGGGAATTTCAAGTTTAATTTGAAAGCAGATTACATGATAGATTCTCTTTAAAATGTTTTCAAGTGAAGCTTAATTTAAAGACCATCTTACAGCCTATTCATAGTTGAATATTACTTCAAGGGTTTCTCTGCCATTGTATGTACATGCCTATAGCTCCTCTGACAGAAACGTATTTCTATATGACTACACTGAAATGTCGTTGATGTTGTCGTGTTGAGATTCATTATTTAGCGTGAGGTGTTTCAGTATTTAATGTTAAGTGATTTTCTAACTGATGAGGATTTTATTTCTTTAATGATCAATATTAGAAATGGGTGAAGACAATGAATGAATGAATGCAGGAATGCAGGAATGGGTGGCATTATGGAAATATCACCTAATTAAGAATAAAAATATTTTGGACAAGTCTCTTGGCTTATCTGAGCTTTAATTTTTAGTCATAAAATGACGCTTGTAGGTATATTAGATAATCCCAAAGTTATCTTTAGCCTAGGGGTTGGCAAACATTGTCTATAACAGGCTATATCATAAATATTTTAAGCTTTTCAGGACACACAGTCTCTGTTGAAACTCTCAAGTCTGCCATTGTAGTATAAAAACAGACATAGACAATATGTGAACAAATGGTGTGACTGTCTACCAATAAAATTTTATTTACAAAACAGGCGATGAGCTCTAATTTATTAACCCCTGGTAGCCCAACACTGTCTAATAGAAATAGAACATGAGCCATATATGTAGTTTAAAATTCCTCTAGTAGCCACATTATAGATAAGTAAAAAGCAACCACTAAGGTTAATACTATATTTATATAATATAGTAAATAATTTTTATACTATATTTATATTATATTTTATTTATACTATATTTTATACTATATATAGTATATATATTATATTTATTTATACTATATTTTATACTATATTTATATAGTATATCGCTATATTTATATAATATAGTAAATAATACTATATATAATATAATAAAATATAGTATAAGTTCAATACTATATTTTATTTTACCTAATATATTTAGATTATTATTAACACGTAATCAATTTTAAAATATTAAGAATATATTTTACCTTTTAAGAAGCTTTTGATATCTGGTGTGTATTTTACACTTCTAGCACATCTTAATAGCCATTTATGGCTAGTAGCTACTGTAATTTGATGACAGTACTCTA